AAAAACCGAAACATGTTGTGTAAATGTTCCGAAATGTAAATCGATCAATCGATACGGAACATGAATGATATTTTATTATCTTTATTATAAGAAATTTTAAATAAAAATTATATTGTGATCAGACGGATTAAAATAAATAATTGATATAATATTCACAATATGACGCAATTACACTATCTTATTTATAAATTTAAATTTGAGTTTTGTGTAAAATGGATGTTGAAGGAAATCGACATTTCGCGAGATGAAATTCATCCATTAGAGTTTATCGTAGACATTTCATACCAATTTTAATCGAATCAAAAGTCTGGCCCAGTATTACACGAAGTGTTTTACAAAGACGCGGGCAATCTGCAATGCGTTATATCCGAGGCAATGAGGAAGTGAGCGTCTCAAGTCACGAAACTCCTTAGGGTCACTGGCTCGTCTTGTGTATTGAACTGAACGAGTGGTGAAATTTATTGAGGGCATCCGAATCGTAGATTTCAGTACTTCTTCCAGTTTATATAAAGACGCTACACCAAAACACAGGCCCACTTATGTTATGTATTACCTCATTGATAAATATAATGAGAGAAAAACAGAAGAAATATTAAACGCTTGTTCTAGAAATAAATTAAGTCAAAAGAACGGAGGACAAAGAGAATATATAGATATAAATTAATAATTGTAATGTGTGGCACGATTAAAATATTTTACAAAGAGAGTAACAAATCAAAATCAAAACCACTAAGAATTTAAGAGTAAAATAAGTTCGGGGTTTGATTTTCGTCATTCATATTAGAATTGTATCTCTCCGACACCTACATATATCCTTCGCGCTCTTTAAGATTCATTTTAATATTATCCGCCTAATTCTAGGAGTTATGCTGATGTGTAAGTTAAAAAGTAATAAGATATTGTAGGTGCGTCATATTGTGATTTTATTTAAAAATAGTATTAAAATATATTAAAATTGTCCGTCAATCACAATATTACTTTATTGTGATTGACGGACAATTTTAATATATTTTAATTGTAAGTTTCAAAAGTAATGTCTTTCCATCGTGATATTCTCGTGATCAATTTCCTTCTGCCGCTGGGTCATTTATCATCAGAACAATGAAACACGTAAATTTATTCGTGCCTTCCTCCCCCAACCTCCCAGGACTATATATCGAACGGAGAGCGCAGTCTCCCCGCAGACATACTAAGGCTCTCGACTTTGAACGTCTCTGTGCACGGCGAGCGAGTCTAACTATAATCACAACATGGTGAGTACAATGACGTAGCGAGCAGAGTGTGTTGTCACTTCTGTTTTGTGACAACTCTTGCCGTGTGTGTGTGTGTGTCTCTTATAGAAACATTTTTTCGACTCCTCGGAGAAAATACTTCTACAGGAATACACACAATAACAAACTTGTTCTGATCATATTTTATACCAGAAAGTGTTATATAACTCCAAAATTTATAACTGCGAGTCATTTCAGTGAAACACATTTGACATTCTGAATTCATTTTATATTTCTCTTTTGAAATAGGCCTATTTATTAATTCTGTATATTACTCATATAATAACTATAGAATGGATAAATAAATATTCAATATAATGTCCAAAACAATTTAAAGTAAAACCAAGAGCCGTAGGTTATTTGAACCGTGTTATGTTTTAACGCTTTGAAGCCCGAAGCTTCTCAAAGCAATATTTAAGAATTCAGTCCGTACCGCAAAGAAAACACCGCACTTCACCATCACAACGATCAACTGGTTAATGCTGTTTAAGGAAATAATCGCTGTTTAGACTGAGAATGATATTAAAACAAATTTGTACAAAATTTAGAGTTAGTTATTGTTAAAATATATAATATGTATAATTAACATTCTGCTTCAAAGGTTTAAAATTAATATCAGCTGTATTCGTCTGTCTATTATTCCGCGTAATCCTTGGAGTTTGATTAAATTTAATGTCATAAATACTTTTTAAAGTAACAGGTAAATTTTATCTGCCAAACACTCACTTTGCCAGAAGTACAACATCAGGTTCTCGTAGACACAAAATGAGAAAAAGTTTATGAATGAGATTTTAGGTTTTCGCTGTGGTGGAGATGCTGAGGTTTGGTCTTCCGCGTAGGAAAGCCGTGTTAACTTGTACACAGATACCAACATTTAGGCGAAATATACTGACTCCTACCCTCCACGGTGGTCTAGCGGTTAGAACGCTGGCCTTGTAATCCTGGGGTCTCGGGTTCGATTCCCGGCGGTGCCCGAATTTATAACTTGTGTTGGGCAAGGCCGTGGTCTAGGCAACACGGAGTTTTCCTCCGTGGCATCCCAACAATTACTCCATTCACACACAGAAGAAGGCAATGGCAAACCACTTCTGGATCATCTGCCAAGAACGTATATGAACAGGTCCCAGTCCGAGAAAAGGATGGAAGGATCCTGTTCATATGGACCTGTCCTCAGACAAAACACTAAATAATAATAATAATAATACTGACTCCATGTTCACAGTGCGTTACACCCAAAAGACAAACATATACAATATCATAATGAAGCGGTTACTCCGATTTCATGGCATTGTCTTGGCATTCGCTGACGGACAGGAAATATTCAGTAAGAACTAGGAAAATGCTTGATATTTACCATAGTATTTTTCATCGGTCTTCCGGATTATCAAATTTTTTTTAGAATATCCGATCGTCCTTCGGTCCAATTTACGTCAAATGATCGCGACTCTACCATATTTGAAACTCTTTTCTGTGTATGTTCCACAGACAACGATCCACTTACTTTAACTCGTGTGGGCGTAAGTACATCGCAGTATCCGGACAGGCTCTCTCTCGACCAAATTATTAATTCTCAAAACACCGAGACAATGGGACCTCTATTAAAGAAATATTTCTTGTGGTCTCCGCCCCGGAAGCCAGTCTGCTCCGCGGCATCGAGGGCCCACCCTAACAGAATGGCGTCCCGAGTCTTAATCATGAAGGCTGCTTCACGAACAGCACAAGATGATTTTGGTGCAATGCACGCGAATGTACCATCTTCGGACTTGCGCAGATTTTGGGGCAACTTTCATCAGCAGCGGCCTAGAAAACTTAACTAGGGTGTCAGAGGGGAGGTTGAAAGAATCTATTTCAAGTAGGTGAACCTATTCTGATTTAAATATTGTGCTATGGTACGTGAATATCGATGAGTTTCGTTTTAAATTTTACGTCATATGTTGGTATTTATTCAGATCTATTCAATGTGTTCTTCAATGCACTCACTAGCTTTTGTTCTGACATGTCCCATGACGGTGGCGTGATTCTAAGAGACGAAGGGCAGTTTAGCATGGGAGACTTCAGAATATCAGCAATTAGGCAAACTTATCCAAACCCCAGATTCCAAATTACTTCTTTGAATCATTCCTAAACTATATCTAGATTATTTTCACGTACACAAAATCGAATATGGAATAGTGATTTTGGAATACGTATTTTCTAATTACTGAATTAGACACCATCGTACCCAAGAAAGATCCTAGCATTTCATGGTTATCCTATATGATTAAGAGATGTAGATATGGTCCAATGGTGACAGTTCGTTCGATACGTTGTCCTTACCTAAAAAAGATGAAACAATGGGAGACTCGATGGTAATCTGCATGGCAATACAATGGTAACTGGCGCCACGAGAGTTCCTCGCCACACACCCTCGTGATTGTTATCGACTCCTTTATAGCATGACCTGGCGCCTTGCCCCTCCTGACACGCCACCAGCCACAACATTTCGCGTGCGAGGTAA